GGTTCTAAGCCTTTAGATCTGACTGATACTAGTAAGGAATACCTACTACAGAGTACTCATGTTTACATTCATCCAGTTAAAAAAAAATAGTTCTCACTGGTTGGTTTCCTAAAAGATAGGAACACCATATATTTCTTGGCAAAATAGAGAACATTAAATATTTTCACTGATATGATCAATCCACTTTCTTGCTAGGTACAGGGTAATAATTCTCTGTTTCATTAACCTTAGTCTGCAATAGATCTGAGTGAAGTTTGAGCCTTATACCTTTCAAACAATGGTGCTAAAACATTTTAGTTTTGTTGTATTTTTTCTTTTTTCCCCCCACTGAATAATAGTTGTTTGGGAGGAGCAGAATTATTGGTTGCAAATGAGGCTACTTTTTTAATTAAAGAATAGAAATAACATTGATATTTATTTAGTGAATTGAATAAGACATCTTGTCTAGTAGAAAATGAAATGAACAAGAGAAAGTTAATTAAAAGGGTTTGTTCTCATTAATAATAATAATAGTAATAAAATAGTTAGCATTTATATAGTACTTTAAAGTTTGCAAAGTACTTTAATAATATCATTTCATTTTTATCCTCAAAACAGCTCTAAGGAGTAGGTACTATCTCTATCCCCACTTTACATATAAAGTAATTGAGGCAAAAAGATTAAGTGGCTTGTCCTAGGTCATGCATATCTGAGATTGGATTTGAACTTAGGTCTTCCTGATTCCAAGTCCAGAACACTATCAAAAAGCCACTAATTTGATAAAAGATGATAATACTTCTTTGAAAAGGCTACATATAATGTATCAGGTATATGTATATATGTATACATATTCCTAGATTCCATAGATATATGGATATATATTTTAAAAGAGACATTTTCATCTTAAAAACTCCCTTCCTTTTCACCTCATATCCCACCATCAATGGTCAATTGAAAAGGCAAAATATTGGAGACCTGTTCACATTTGTGGTGATGTAGAGAACTATGAGCTAACATCAGAATTCTGCCACTACCTAGTGTTGTCCAATGAACATGTACATTGTATAAATAAAGAACATACAGGTAAGAGCTAGCTTCTGTTCTTAAGGAGATTATAGTTCATATGATGAGTGCCTATGGAACAACACTGAAAACATATGTGTACCTCATTTGATTGAAATTAAATCTGATTTACTATGTGTCAGTTATTTAGTACCTGTGTGACCTTGAGCAAGTCACCTAACTGATTTGGGCCTAAATTTCTTTTCTTGGGATAAGTAAGAAAAGTCTCCTGTCCTTTATACCCTGTAGCTCCAGTCCAGTAACTATAAATATTCCCTTCAATGGCTAACCTAAAGTTCACTCTGCCCACAACCAAACTCATCATTCAACCAAATTATGAACTCTAAAACACCAAAAAAAAGTAGAAGGTATTATAGGCATTATATTTTAATAACTGATTTCTCATTCTAATTACTTTAACTGGCTTAAAATCTTGATTTTAAGTAATTCAAATCAGTCCACAAGCATTTTTCTATTTTTCTATGATATAGGGAAAGAATGATAACATTATGTGTATTTTGTAGACAAGGAAACTGAGGATATTAAGAGGTCTCGAGTTAGATGGGACCTCAGAGGTCTTCTATTCCAACCTCAATCATTTTACAGATGAGGAAACTGCAGTCCACAGAGGTTAAGTGATTTGTTCAGTCAGATAGGTAGTAATCCTCAGAGGTGAGATTTGAAACCACATCAAGAGCCAACATTCTTTCCCTTGTATCATGATGCCTTCTCATGTCTTCCTCCAGGTTAAAGAAGTAGTCATGGGCAAATACTAAAGTCATGATGATATGGCTCCATTTAGAGGACAGAATGTGACATTCACTACATATTAAGTTCCAGAAACTAGTATCTTGAAAAAAAAAACAGAAATGAAGTTATTAAACAATTCTACTTGCCTTGCACAGACCTATGTTCCTACCTCCAAATTATAGAATTGAACTAAACTTTTTATTGAACTAAATTGAATTGAATTGAACTAAACTATTCCTTCATTCATTCATTCATTTATAATAAACAAATGCAATGGATATTTTCCTGGCTGCTGTAACCTGAGACTGGATAGACATCAAGATAACTTAGAGGAATAATGTACTTTTGGCTTATCTCAACAGCAAAGAGGTCAAATAGCTGTTCAATAAATCACACAAGTATGTGTGTGCTGGGCTTGAGTCAGGAAGACCTAAATTCAAGTCCAAACTCAGACACTTATTAACTCTGTGACTCTGGGCAAGTCACTTAACCTCTAGTTGTCTCAGCTTCTCCCTCTGTAAAATGGGGATAATAATAGTACCTACTTTATGAGGTTTATGTGAGGATGAGAAAATGTGTGTAAAGGGCTAATTATTTAAGGAGAATGACAGAGTAACAATAGGCAACCTATTTATATAACTTTGTTAGTACCATTTCTTACTTGATTAACCCTCAGCCAGCCCACTTTTATTACCACCAAAATTTGACAGGAAGCTAACAGAGACCTAATCAGTGAGGGAACCTGAAATTAAAGAATCATAGTTTAAACTTCAGAGTTTCTTTGAATACTTCAAGAGTTCAGGAGGGTATTCTCTGCCTCAAAATAGACCACAGTCCCTTCCTGGTTCAATAGATGATCTCTGAGAGTTGTTGCAATTGTGAAATGCCTCTCCCTACATGTGATATGACTCTCTAATCTTAACTAGACTTCACTGAGAAGGATTGAGTAGAGCACTGAACTTAGCAAGACCTGAGTTCAAATTCAGCCTCAGGCATTTATTAGCTCTGTGACCCTGACCAAGTTACTTATTCTCACTGTGCCTGTTTCCAATGAGCAAACTTAGGGAGTTAGACTTGATAATCTGTAAGGTATGTTCTAGCTCCAAATCTATGTGTCTGTGACTCAGAGAAAACGGGTATTCATTCCATGATCCTTCCTATAATCAGAACCTTTCCAAATAGGTGGGACCTGGCATTATTTGTTTTCTCCTAAAACCTCCCTTGTAACCCAGAGATACATCTTTAACACAATGAGGCATCAAAATATGACCTAAGAGGTGGTTTCTTTGAGCATAAGAATAAAACCATCCTATATGTTACCTGTAAGCATGGTCCTCAATTACTTTGTACTTTAGTGACTAATTGATTTTAATAAATCCTCTGATACTGTTGGTATATAATGAAATGGACTTCAGCACATTTAAAAGGCATGATACTAGGTTTGGGGGGTGCTTACAAAGATGAGTAAGATATAGTTACTGCCTTCAAGGGGAGATAAAATGTGCACAAATATTACAATACAAAAGAGAATATTAGTGCGTAGAGAGCTAAAAACAAAATGAACTAAATGTGAGAAGAGGTTTAATTTCCAATTGAATGGATCGTGGAAAGCTCTATGAATGAAGTGGCATTGGAACTAGAGTTGGAAGGATAGATGGATAGATAGTACCATAGAGGCATTTTAAATATATGAAACAGTACATGCCATAGAGAAAAAAAGATATAGAACATGTTCATAGAACACTGAGTAATCCACTTTGACTAGACCTCAACTGTCTCTTATCTTTACCAAGGTCAAATAACAAATGGTGGATCCAGGGTTCAAACTCTGATCTTTGGACACCTAGTCTAGTGCTGCCTTTGAGTGTATAAGTAAAGACTCTAAGAAAGCTAATACTCTTTGTCTAAACAGAAGGACCTATAATCAGTATTCTAGATAGGTTCAGTTTTAGTTTGTTTCAGTTCAACATCCTTAACATACACAAATCCATACCCCCAATAATCTAGAGGTTTTGATTTTAGCCCTTATCCATGTTACCCATCAATGGTAGAAGACAATTACCAAGGGCATGTTACCACCAGTATTCAACAAGCACAGAGTTACACAAACATGGGAATGAAAACTAACCAGACTTTTGAGATGACATTGATCAATCACCAGTGACTCATTTACAAGGGGACTTGTTTCTTCTCATGATAAACTAAAGAAGAGGTAATACATTTTACATGTCCTGGGATCATATCTTGTCTTTATGAAATAATTGCCCTTGCTAATATGTATATATATATATATATATACACATACATATATATACATATATATATATATCTGTCCATATAGACGATAGACACATAGACATGCCCATATACACACACACATACATACATACAAGCACATGTACATGTTTACTTCTCTTCAAAATCCTTTCTCCATTACTTTGTGTAGGCTGTGTTCCTATGTAGGTTTATGTGCAGTATTAGTTCCTGAATGGTTTATGTATTTGTATTATAAAGGCTAAATGGCACTGTATCTTTTAGAGGGGAAAAGGATCTTTTCTTTGTGTAAAAATGAAATTATAATATTGAGCAAATAAATATTATTCTTTCTAATTTGGGATGCAATTAATAAAATTGATAAAGTTTAATTATATACATTTTGTGTAGTAATTTAATTGATGTAGAGAATTTTAGGTGAAGAAATTCCCTCTACCAGTACAGATCAGCAACTATTCTCCAATTTAAAATGTTAGAGAGTTGTCTGGGACACTAAAAGGTTAAAAGACTGTTCAGGCTTAGACAGCCAGTATTTGTCACTGGCAGAAACTAAATGTAGATCTTCATGAATCCACAACAGAAGCCAACCTACTATCTACTGTACCATACTGCCTCTTGCAGGTCTGGACCAAAAATGAATTTCTATTTGATTCTTTAAAAATAGGACATTTCTTATTTGAAATAGTTCCAGCAGCAGTGGTGGTAGAAAAAAAAATGATAGTTTGAGCCACAGCAGTACATTTAAAAAAAATACTCTGATTTAAAAACATCAATTTTAATCAAACTTCAATTTTCATATTATTGCCATACCTAGTAACAGTCAGCTGTAACATAACTGGTCACATGCCTCAGTAGAATAACATGTATAGGTTATTAAAGAATGATTGCTGGGATTTCAACTTTTTTACTGTGCTACTTCCTGCTCTAACAGGTCTATGGAAATGCAGGACCTAGCAAGTCCTCATACTCTTGTTGGAAGTAGTGATACTCCTGGTAGCTCCAAACTGGATAAATCTAATCTCAGCAACACATCAGTTACAACAAATGGGACAGGAGGTAAGTATAAAACCCAGAAGTTGGACAGAATATAAATTTGAATGCTTAGTGTTAGGCATGTGCTAATAAATGAGTAAAGGTCTCCTTAATTAACATCATGTCTCCTCATTAGGCCCAAATATATGTTTAGAAAATATGTGATTTATTATTAGGTCAACTCTCTTTCTATTCTTTGTCATATTCTAAAACTGGAAACATATAAGGATAATTAAAAAAAAAAACTGGTTCTGCTTCTGAGCAGTGCATATTGCTGGGACACTTCATTGTCCTTTGCATGTCTTTAAAAAGTTTACTCAAGGATGAGGAAAGGGAGTCTTGGACACTAATTTCAGAAAAAGCAGACTGATAGTGCATCTAATGCATCAGAGTGTGGTTTTGAGTTCTCTCTGGCTCTAAATTTAATAATTAAAAATTACCAAGAAATTGACTTACCTTGTGTTCAAAATGATTGCTGAAGCAGGAAAAAAAAATTAAAACAGGTGTTCAAAGTTTTCTTTTCAAAGGACGAAGTTATTTGTGTTGTTTTTTTTTTCAAAATAGGGGTGACATTGTGTTGCTTTTGTTTTCTTTAGATATATTCAGTTAGAATATGTGTTATAAGCAACATATAAATAGTTATTACAATAAATTAGAAATTCAAATTGCTCTGAACACAAGAGACTATTGGAAATGATCAGATATAGGTAGTTGCCACAAAATACTTTTTTATTATTTATCAATATACTTTAGTTCTTCCAACTGTTGGTGGAGTGGCAGAGGAAAGACCAGTGTCTATTATAAATTCAGTTTTGAAATTATTTTCTGAGTCAAGTTGTGCACATTATAAGTTGCCTGCATCAAAAACTTTTCCACCAAACTCTCTGTAGCTTAGCTTTTTTTTCTTGTTTATAGATGATAACTCATCTCTCTACATTACACATAATTCTAGTTAATATCAATGGGCTTTTTTATGCACATAAAGAGGAAGGAGTAGGCCACTTAGTGATGACTTTTAGATTAAGTACATTTGCATTTAAAACTCAAATCAAGTACAACTATTAGGATTAAAAAACTCTCAAAACTCTGGAAACTCACTTTCACAAGGACACTAATAATCATGTGCATATATTTTACTTGAATAAAATAAACTGTATAAAATAATACTCATAAAAGCAATACAGCACAGTTAAAAGACTTGGCTCAAAGTGCAAAAACACTTATAAGCATTGAAGATTATTCATAGACACTGAGCAGGCCTTCAAACAATGAACCATTCTACTATTCCTGTTCTCAGGAGACACCATGACTGTTTTAAATACTGCAGACTGGTTGCTGAGTTGTAACACTCCTTCTTCTGCAACAAGTATGAGAGACCATGGTACACTGCATGTGTGTGGCTGTGTGGATTTGCCCTTATGGTTTGGGTCCTTGTTTCTATTCTATGGTGTGTGCCACTGCTGTGTGTTTCATTACTTTTAAGAGAGAAACAAGAAAAATAAATACGCTTTTGCTTAACAGTTTCCAAATGTTAGGCTATTTTTTCTACCATAAAATCAATGTTTTTTATACAAAGATTTTTCAAAATATGCCTTGAAGGGTAACTTTTGGAGATATGTGTGTTCATGCAGTTGGCTTGAATAAACTGACCAGTTACAAATCAGTTAAAAGAGGTGAGGTTGTTTTTGTTTTTGTTTTTGTTTTGTTTTGTTTTGTTTTTGTTGTTGTTTTTTCTGGTGGGGGGGGTTGGGGATGGGATTTTAAACCTTAAACATCCCTAATGAGATACCTACATCAATTTAGAATGCCAAAGAGCTTCTGAAATCCAATAACATTTTTATTTTGAATTATGAAATCCTTCAGTTCCAAACATAATCCATTAATAAGCTATATGGCATGAAAAGTTAGCTGTTCAGTCCTTTCAGTCATGTCTGACTCTTTGCAACCCCATTCGGGGTTTTCTTGGCAAAGACACTGAAGTGGTTTGCCATTTCCTTCTCCAACTCATTTGATAGATGAGAAAATGGAGGCAAACAGGGTTAAGTGACTTGCCCAGGGTCACACAACTAATAAGTGCCTGAGGCCAGATTTGAACTTAGGAAGACTCCAGGCCCAGCATTCTATCTACTGCACCACACAGCTGTCCCACATGAAAGTTAATATGGTCTTTAAAATTTAGTAAGTTTTATTTTTTTCTTCATAATTCATCATGATGCCATCTTTAGGAACTATTTTGAGGATTGAAAAAAGAAGTTATATATATTGAGAACTGAGTTACACTAGTATTTGTATTAATTTGATTCAATTTTTGCGGTTAGAATGGGCTTAGTTTTCTCGGCCTCAGGATAATGTCAGTGATTTCTTGATTAGAATTAACAATAAATTGTAAACATAATCAGTTCCTGATATCTTTTTTCTTAGTTTAAAAAAAATTATTCTATCCTCATTTTTTTTTGCTAAAATCATACTTCTGACCATTTACGGAGCAAAATAACAATAGTCCTAGAGGAAGCATAATATATTAATCTGAATAGGTACAGGGAGTTTTCTCAATGGGAATTCCCTATAGTAAGGAAATCACAGTGGGTCTGGTTAAAAAGTAATAATAATAATAATGGAACATAAATATTTTGCTATATCCTATATCTGAAGTGAGAAATTGAAATATATTGCTTTTCCAATAATCACTATATTTTAAGTTTTCTTAACATTCTTATACTTACCTTATGAGGAGCACTTGGTTTCCTGTTTCCCAATGTTACAATACAGTTATTAAATCACAACTGTCAAACATGGTTAACAAAATTCAGTTTTCACATATTACAAAAACAGTCTTCTTTATTATGAATAGCTATATGATGTATAACTTTATAAAGAAAAATGCTAAGGAAGTAATTATCTGAAAGCCAGAATATGATACTGGTTTTATGAAGTCTTAATGCCTTGTGTATGTAAAGTCTTCATAAATGTTTGGGACATTACTTTTCCTCCTCAGTAGAAATATTTCAAATATTTGTAGTTCTCATATTAACATATCTGAATGTGGGAAGCAATGGAGTCAGAAGAATGTCACAATGGATAAGGCCCTGGGCCTGGAGCCAAAAAGATATAAGTTCAAATGTGACCTTAGACAATTACTAACTATGCCAGTTACTTTATCTCTGTTTGCCTTTTGTGCCTGCGACTGCAACATGAGGATCAAATGAGATATTGTTGTAAAGTGCTTAGCAGTGCCTGGCACACAGTAGGTGCTACATAAATGCTAGCTATTCTTATTCTTACTGGAAATGTTAAAGTTTCTATCCATAAAAGTTTTAGAATCTTAATTTAAAAGGTTTTTAGTAATTTTCTTTCATTGTCATTTGAAGTGTAAATGTATAGAAGTTACTCATTATATTACTAGTAACTGTTGCATTATAATTGAAAAAAATCTATGCAATTAAAAAGGCATGCCTTGTGACCAGTTCTCCCTATTAATTTTCATTTATTGTTAGATCAATAACTAAATTAAATTAACTCTTTAAATAACTTATTCCAATAGGAAAAATACATAAGAACTGAATTTAGTTTATTATGTGTATAAGAATATGACATCTCCTCAATCATAGTCATCAAGAATATAGCAAATAATTGAATTACTTATTATAAAGTTACTATCTTGTCAATACTTTTTCACTGATGGGTTTCTCTTAAGAACTCAAATATGTAGTGACAATTATTTTCTTTCTTTTTTTTTTTAAAGGCAATTGGGGTTAAGTGACTTGCCCAGGGTCACACAGCTACTAAGTGTCAAGTGCTTGGTCTGAGGCCAGATTTGAACTTAGGTCCTCCTGACTTCAGGGCCAGTGCTCTATCTACTGTGCCACCTAGCTGCCCCCAACAATTATTTTCATGGGATTAAGTTTTATTTTCCTCCAGTATGTTAAGATAAATAACTGACTACTTTGACTAATCGAATTTATGAATAAAAGTACTGAAGCTAGTGGCTGCAAAAGCGATAAGTTTTTCTTTTAACTTTGATATTTATTATTTGGAGAAGAGGCATATCAAGATTTGGTAAAGGACAAATTTTGATTGGTTTCATGCACATTTTTATGATTTGGTTTTATATAATCCAATAGAAGTGGAATGTTTTAGAACTTTAGCATTCAAGGAGATCTCTTGAATGCATTTTTTTTCTGGAGGAAAATCATGGTACTTTGTACATAGTACACCCTTAAATGCTTACTGGATTAAATAACAGCCAGGCCAATGGTATTAAAATTCAAGGGTATCTAAATACTCTTCATACAAATGTTGTTATTTATGGCTGTCATAATTTCTCTCATCATTTAGAATGGTGTACCAAATTTAAAAATTTATGGTTATTTTTGGACAGAAAGAAATTAACATGGCATTCATAGATTAAGAGAAAGGTATCTTTCAAGAAGACATGTTGACTTAGAATAAAAATAAAACTATAAGCTATTCCACTTATTAAGACCATTCATAGTACAGAAAAATGTTGTTTATGGCCTTGATTTAGTGTTACATAGTATAACCATTTTGACCCAACTGCCTTTAGAATCTTCTTCAGAACAAAGACTGCTAGGTATTACACAACATGATTTTGTGGTATGGAGAGATGTCCAGTGGGAAATTTATATATGAACTAATCCAATCATCTTGAAATCTCTGACCAATTTAATCCTTGGTCTCCAGAGATGAAAAACTAAAATATAAATAAATGAATCCAAATGTGGGATTATAGTACCCAGGGCAGGCATTTTTGGAAGATAAGGCAAGTTGTCTTTGCAGTCCATTCATCTCAAAAGACAACCTAAGCAGATTGTGGCCAAGTAAAAATGACAGGTCTAAAATAAATTTTAAGGAGAGGAAAAAAATGCAAAATGACCAATTCAGTAGTTTCTAAGAGATAACAAAATGTACAGATATAACATTAACCAAGTCTACAGACTTAATAATTGTCCCTTCTCATTAAAGTCAAACATCTGGCTTTATTAAACTGGTTTGATCAATTCATT